AACACAATTAAGCAGAAAGGAACAGACTAATAAGTAGTTATTATTTTGCACAATTAAGGCATTATTCCCTTAATCAGTCTACATTTTGAGACAATACCACAACTAACCAGTTCACTGATCTTTGCTCTTCTGGCCCCTCATCTTCGGACCTACTTCCACCCAGGTACTGAACACTCTAGGAGAATTAAATAAGGCATGACATTATGGATTTAAGATTGGCAAGAAGGCAGGAGAGAGAGACTAGCCCCCACTATGCATGGCAAGAGACTTGCATGTCTATACTTCAATAGGGAGGCCAAAAATTTCTAGCGGTTGAAAGTAGGAAACTTTGGATTACATCCACACACATTAGAAAATTAGGCCTTCATTTCTGAAGACAAGAAGGAACAAAAATCAAATAACTAGCTGGAGAATTTACTTGCTGTGTGGGAGTAATAGCTGTTTCTCAATGAACTATAGCTAAATATTCAGGAATGTTTAGTTCCTGAAGGGGAGGGGACCTGCCAATCGTCTATGACTGAAGAATCCTCATGAGTATAATGTGTTGAATGGGAGGCAAAATCCACATTGTTCCTACAGAAGCTAAGAAATTCATGCACACACTCTATAAGCCAGAACCAGGCATGTGACTAGGCTCAGCCATTTACAAAAACCTGCCCCAACATTTTCATTTTTCCTCAGCTATTCTTAAACATTTCTCTCCAAGATAAATTATATTATCGATTTTTATGTTATGATAGAAAAAAAATCATAAGGATTTTTTATTGTTGTTTGGGTTTTTTGCTTTGTTTTATTTGGTGGCACGGGGTTTGAAACTCAAGGTCTTAGCACTTGCTAGGTCGGTGGCTCTACACTTGAGACACTCCTCCAGCCCTACAACAGGATTTTTAAAGGAAGTTGAAATATTCTGTGCGGTACTACAATGTCAATATCATATTTGTCCAATCCATAAGGATGTACAACTACAAGAGAAACCTAATGCAAACCACTGAACTTTGGCGATTTCTGATCTGTCAATGGAGCTTCAATCAATTGCACCAACCACCACTCTGGTGGGATGTTGATAATGGGGGAAACCATGCATGTGGTTGTGGTAAAATCTCCAATGCCTTCCAATCAAAGTCTGCTGTGAACTAAAACTGAACTTTAAAAAAAACAAAAGTCCCTTCAGCTTCTCGAAAAGAGAACCTAGAGGCTTGCGGTTCAAAGTCAGCCGTGGACAAAAAGCAAGACCCTATCTGAAAAAATAACTCTAAAAAGCAAAATGGCTGCAGGTTGGTAGCAGCACAAGGATTGAGTTAACTTCAGTGCCACCAAAAAAAAAACCTTCGAAACAAAAAGTTGAGGATTAGCTCAGTAGTGGACGTAACTGTGCCTAGCATGTGAGCAGGCCCTGGTTTGTCCTCAAGCATCAACAACAACAACAAAACACACAAATAAGACACGGGGATTTCATAGGGATTAACTGCAATGTACAGATAATTTTGGAAGAAATATTTGGGTTTAAAAATAATCAATCTGACTAATTCAGAAATATGTTTTACTTCTTTTCAATGTTTTCCTTTTAAAGTCTTCGATATAAGTTTTTCATTTGCTTCAATATAAAGTTTGCACATTTCTTTTTTCACAAGATTTTTGTTGCTACGCAAAGGGGCTTTTTCCTATTTATTTTCTGACTAGTGGCTTGCTTATACTGAAAGATTCTGACTTCTTATGTTGTTCTTATAGCCCACTCAACTCTTGGTAGGTCCAGATCTGTTATCAATACTCCAACCCTTACAGTGAGTAATTATCTAATTTTTAAATTAAGTAAGCAGTTAATAATAGAAACATTAAACGTTTTCTGATAGAAAGGGTCAGCTAAAATAAAGAAACTGTGGTAGAAGGTTGTAAGACCTCTCCTAGAGAGCTCTGAAATAAAGATAGCACCATCCAATGTGCTTGTTTTTTTAGATCAAACACCTTGCATAAGAACAAGGAGAGAGAAAAAAAAAAAAAAACATGTCTTGGTCTGGCCTTCCCCCCATAATGGTTTAATATTGATATTTGTTTTCCCAACAGGCTAACTCAGGGTCAGAGAGAAATACAGGGCTCATTTGCACTAATGAAAGGATGGGGACAAAGAAAATATGCCTTCCAGAAAAAAAAAGTTTTTAATATTGCATTCCCTCAAACATGCTCTATAGCTTCCAGGGGGAAAAAAAAACTTTTTCCTAATCTACCAAGCAATTTTCCTAGGTTTAAAAAAAAACAAAAAAAAAAAGCATCATTAAAAAAAAGAATTTTAACTATTTTTAGAGTTACTCAAATGAATTTAAATAGTTTAAATCCCCACTGTCTACAATATTTCAAAAATCTGTCTATACTAACTTGAATTTCAACATGGTGCTAAAATTTTTAACGCAAACCGTTAACGTAGATATATGGTGGACATATTCTTTTAAGAACGAAGCCTGAGGGAGTAACTTTTCACCTACTTCTGAACTAACATTTGGTTTCTTTCTAAAGATATTAAATTTAACTGCAGCAATTTCAACATAAAAAGTATAGTAACAAGCTGTCAGTGAAAATCTACAAAGAATCATGAATAATCTGAACTCAACTTTTTTCTTTATTTGGTGGACGGGAGTTTAAATTCAAAGGGTCTCAGCTTTCTTAGACAGGTGCCTACTGCTTGCTTAAGTCAGCACCCTACCCTTTTCTGCTTTAAGTTGTTTTTCATGTAGGGTCCTCACTAACTTTTTGCCCTGGCTGGCCCTCTAAACAAAATCCTCCTTATTTTCCTACCTCCTGAGTAGGTCAAAGTATTGGGCATGTTCACTACTTCTGGCCCCTTGAAAACAGATTTTTCTGACATGTTTATTTCTTTAAATTTCTATGTTATCGAGTTCAAGCAGCATAAAATTTTTTCTTTTGTCTTTTGCAATAGATTGAATTTTTATTTGGAACACAGTAGAGCTAAAACTTGTTCCACATTGGGAAGAAATTATTACCAAGTTTTCACAGTGGGATTCCAATAGATTAGCCCAGCTTTAATTTTATAGGAAAAACTTAGCTTATGACTTACTTATAATCAATGAGAGTTTTGGCCAGAACTCAAAAATGAATCGTCAAATTCCAGCATTCTCCTCCAATCATCCTTGTGACATAACTTTTCAGGATGGTAAATTCTGTCTGGCCTGCTCCCAACCTATAGGCATACCAAGTTTCTGGTTAAAGAGCAAACCAGATGCTTTATGAAAAATGTTCCCATTGTCTTTTCAAGTGAGTTAATGCTAGTGAAAAGGCCATTGTGTGGGAATTATGAAGACAGGACTCAGAAAAAGCAGTAGTTACTCTTAGAGAGAAAAGGGAGACATAAACCTCAAGTCACATGCTCTGAAACTGGAAAAGTTTCAAAGGCAAACTGTGCTCACTGTCTGGCCCGTCCTGAAAGGCATGGGAACCGCAGATCATTAATATTGTTATTTCCCATGAGCCCTGGTCACAGAGGATGGTAAGACTGTTTTGAAAAACTCTATTACTGTGTGGGGAGTTTTGGCTTGGAGATCCTGGCCCTGAGTAAAACACCCACTGGTTGGCAGCTCCAGCCCAACAAACAGCTTAGGATCTAACTTTATGTTGAAAATTACCAACGGTTTCTAAGATCACAATAACAAAGTTCCTAGAATTAGTGTCCGATGAGCCAAAACTTTAAAAAAAAATAATAATTTTTTTAAGTAGCTTTCAGAAAACTAATGAGAAAGACATTTTGGCCTTGAACCAGCAAAAGATGAATATACCCCTGGAAAGGAATTATGTGAACTAAAATTTCTCCATAGTAACAATTCTAATTAATCATTCAAAGCTAAGGGTTGATTTTCTAAGGTTATGAGCTAACTACATAGTCTCCTGTTTCCATCATTAAAATCTAGTTTCTTCTAGTCTTTGTATCTGCTTACCCAGGCATTAATGTGAAGCCTATAATGTAATCTTAACAGCAATCTTATAATAAAAACTCTGTTTTTAAGGTGAGTTTGCCACTTTGTAGTCTTAGTTTAAAGGCTAATTAGTAATAAATTGAAATTTTGTCTAGGTTCCACACAACCAAAACATTTAGACATCTACTTAGTCTCTTATAAAAGTGTGAAAATAACAGATATGAACAATATTCTTACAAGACATTACCAGATCTTTTGAATTGGAATTGACCATTATTTGGTGATGTTTCAGTAAAATATGTAGTTACCTATATTTTAACAGAAATTAAAACTGAAATGTGATTTGAATTACAGTAACTGAAACATGACTGGATTAACATGAGTTACAGAGTGAAATGCAACATTTCAGCAGAGTCAATTCCAACTAACAGCTTTTTATTATGCAATACAATTAGACAACACATAGTTTTTCTGGCAAGAAAAATAGGAGTGTAACACTGAGCAGCCACCAAAATAACCCTAGGGTAAGTTATCACACTGAATATAATGCTATTAGGGTCAAAATGGTCACATACGCACTAGAACACTACAGACAGGAATGAAACCACAGCCAAATTAAGCAGCTCTTCTTGTAATGAAAACTAGTAGTCTGGCATTAAGAGAGGCTACACCTGTTGGGAGTAAAATTTGATACTCAAAAACATGAGAACCAGTCAGCCAGCAGTTGGTCAAAAATATAAAATGCGATTCCGTATAGAACCAGGGAAAGGACTTTCTAGAAATCAAATTCCCTAGTCCACCTGCTATCCCTCAATGTCTTTAACTTTGATTGCCTCTGGATCCATATGACCTTTTAAAATTATGAAACTTTAAAATCTTCTGGGGAAGGATTTTGTTCATAACTTGAACTCAATTTTCAAAATCACTTCTCATAAGAAAGCTCAGCAATACACTGAGTTTCTCTCACAGCCTCCAGGATGATGTTTGTTCTAACCCTCTCTGGTCCACCCCCATCTACCCAATGTGGAGTCCAATGCTGCCCACAAACCATGCTTGTTCAACTCATTCTTGCTCACATACCTGTCTCCTTCTTGCTTCCTTTTCCTCCCTCTCGGCTCTTCTTCAGCACAGCCTTCAACATTGTCAACACTTTTTTGTCTCTAAAGAGGAAAGAGGGGAAAGAAGAGGAATTAAAGGGTGTAAAAGTTGGAATACCATTTGCATATTGACCTAAGACAGAACTTGTATTCAAACAAACAGATCACTTAGGATAACGTAAAAGTACCTTGAATTTTACATTAATTTCCTATTAATAAACTATGGTGGGAAATGAAATGCTAAAGACACAAGGAATGTTTTATAACTTTTAATGATGTGATCAGAAGTTCACTGTCTTGTTATAAACGTTACAAAAAACACAATAGTGCATTCTCAGAATTCCATATCTAATTAAGGTTATGAGGCTTAATCTGGGTACATTACTATAAGATATTTGCCATGGTGATACAGCCTCCCAACCTTAATTCATCAAAAGAAGACAATATTAGAACATGAAATCAAAAAAGATAATGGTTAAGAAGGAAGCTACGTGGTTAAAGGCAATACTTTACAGGTGATATTAATTATATAATCACCAGGAAAACATTTTGGAAGATTATGGGAACAGAAGATACCTTATAAACATTTGTAAAATAAGTACAGTGGGAATACATTTTAACCCTGATGTCAGGTGACCCTATTAAACAGCACACACTCACAAGTTGTTTTGCTATATATAGTTATGACTTTGGGAGAAGGAAGGAATGTGAGAATAGGCCTATGGCAGTATGTCAAATTCCTTAAAATGAGCTGCATTTTGAAGCAAGGTTGTACTGAGCTCATAAAAACAACACAATGGCCCAGGCCTAAAATGAAACAGGAAACCATCTCTACAGCAAAAGACAGACAATAGCACTATTATTTCATCATGAAGCTAGCATCCTTTAGCTTTCTTCCCCCACTAACTCAGATGACAGCTGAACAACCACAAACATTAACAAATCCTAGTGGGTTGTGTTACCCAACACACTTTTGCTGATGCATGAAAAGAGGAAAGGAATAGGTAAGCAGGTTGTTCCTGAACAGACAAAGAGGGTACAGGAAGGAAGAAAGGAGCAAAGGGAGGGGAAGGAGAGGCTCCCCCACAGAGGAGAGCTCCCAAACCTGCCGAGCTAGCTTGAGTGCTTCCAATGGCCTCAGTGTAACACCCCACACCACCTCTCAACCCCTAAAGTAAGGAGCCTCAATGTGTGGCCATTCACAGAATCCCACAACATAAGCAGCAGGGTGGCCTTTCTTATCATTCAGTCCAGGCCTGTATTTATTTTTCCAAGCCCTTTGTTTTACTGATGAAGAAACAGAGATCCTGCAAGACTGACTTGCCCAGGGGTCACTCAGTTAATTAACAGCAGGGCCAGAATCCAAATCTGCGGAGTCCCAGCAAGGGTTCACCTTCCTCCTTTCGCTCCACTGCTCTTTGACTGGCTGGCTGGCTGGCTGGCCTCTCCTCTCAGATCAATGAAAGCTTTGGGCAAACAAAACTGAGAGATATTAGGAAGATAATATCTTAGAATTTGGAGAAAGCCATAGTGGTTATTAGGGTTAAATCATCTTACAAACAAGTCTTTACACACAAAAGGAGGATGGCTCACAGCCTAATTCATGTTTTTAAAATGCTACTTGTATAGCCCTAGTGGGAAAAAAAAATGAGGTTTCACCTAAAGAGTCAACACTGAACCTGGAAGAGGACACAGTATGCTTCCATATGGGGACTTGTGGAAACACAAATTTCTCCTAACAGTCAGATTTAAAGGAAAGAATGAAAAATGTGGTATAAAAAAAGGCAGATAAGACTATGGCACATTCTGTAATCCCAGCACTCAAAGCTGAGGCAGGAGCATTGTGAGTTGGAGGACACCTAGACCCCATCTCAAAAAGTTTTTAAAATAACTTTAAAAGGGCAAGCAAAATTTAATAAATAGATAACAGGGACGTTTTCTTTTTAAATCAATTTTCAGGGTTTATAATTTAGCAAAGACTACATGCTTAAAAAGAAAAATACTGACAGATCCATGCCACAGCTTTGTCCACGGCCCCTTGCACACATGGTCATGACTCCTCCAAGACCCTGTATTTTCCTGGCTCTTTGACCTGTGTGGGCCCCATCATGTCCATGAAGCTGTCCCTGATTCATCACCTGGTCATCACCAATTTGCAATAGGTCTACTGTGCCACTCACTCAAAACACACATGCCACAGGCAAGGACTAGTTGACACTGACTTTGATTTCTCATCCCTGACACCTTGTGTACCTATTTTTAGGAAGCTCAGCTGTTTTCAGGACAGTCACATCTTCCACATCAGTGGTCTTAAGTTAAAGAAGCTATCAAATATCTGCTACAAGACTTTTTCTTCCAGTTCCTGCTCTCATGCATAAAGAGTAACTTGAGGGAAAGACCTTAAATTTTATCCTAAAAGCTATTCAGTGACCTCTAGAAACTGGTTAGAAGTGAGTGCAAAATGGCCTACCTTCAACACATGCGTGCGCATACACACACTACACAGAGAAAGAGAGAGAGAGAATTAAGGCTTCCCAGCAAGTTAAATTCTGAAATTAACAATCCAATAGAGATATGAAAGTCACCCGGAAGTCCCAATCATCTGTGGCCTAAAATTCATAACTGGAACTCAGTATCATTAAGGGACCTAAAGACTGTGCCCACTGAAGGATGATGGTCAGAAGAGCAGCTATAATGGTAAGCCAAAGGAGCCAACACTGCATCTGCCAGAAATGATACTTGACAGTGTCTATGAACTTAGAAACATACGTCTCCACATACAGTTCGGGAAATGGATGAATGAGGCTATCAGAGCTAGGCGCTATTAAATATTGGCATGATAAAACTACTTCCCCTTGTTCTTATTCTGTCCTGAGAAGCATCTACTAATTTGGCTCCTTTCCTAGTCTGCCCACAGTGGGGAGAGTGTGCTGGTCCAGTCAACACAACTGTCTGAGTTGTTGTCAGATATGATTTTGAGAATAAATTAATAAATTGGTGTTCTGGCTTTAAACAGAAGCTCTCATGAACTTTGTTAAAGGTGATCACTTTGCCAAATTCCACCTATTTAAGAGGTAGAGAGTAATGAATTTCTGACCCCAGTTTGAGGGCCAACAGGAAAACAGTGTAAATTCTTCAATGGCAATGCCACCATGAAACAGATCTGTGTGGGCGGCAGCAGGCACTCCAGGAATTCACCCTCTGCTTCATCACACACTTCCTTTCTAGTAACAAGGTCAACTGTCATTTTTCCCCCTGAAAGGGTGAACATTACCTGTCCTTGGCAAGTACCAAGTAGAAGTAATGTAAACAAGACTTCCTGACACAGTAATTCAGACCCAATTGATTAAAGCAAACACACAGAAAAAGAAACTGCCAGAAGTGATCAAGTTGCTTCTAGAGAACCATGCATGCAGTGAGGAAGTACTTAGGGACAAATGTCATAGGCTAAAACATAAGAAAGGTTGTGTTTTATTATTACAACATCACACTATAGAATAAAGGCACAGGTATAACTGGCCAAATAGAACACCTCAACTTCTGCCTCAAAACCTTAGCTTCTGTAATAGCAAGTAGAAGAAATTTACAATTGGACTCAAATACATTAAGAACACGTGTCAAAGCCAGGCACGGTGGCAAGCACCTATAATCTTAGCTACCTAGGAGGCAGAAGGATCTCAAGTTCACAGCCAGCCTAGGCTACATATTAAAACCCTATCTCAAAATAAAATAAATACATGTTTCAAAATGCAATGGTTATCTGCCATAATTTTAAATTATATACTTTTTGGGCTGGGGGTATAGCACAGTGGTAAAGCACCTGCCCAGCATGCTTGAAGACCATGTTGTGGGGTAGGGTTCCAATCCCCAACATTACAAAAAAGAAAACAAATTTTATGCTTTTGAGGAAGAGAATGTTGGGCGGAGGGGCAGTATGATCTTATTCTCACCTGTTGCAAGATTCATGGATGATACCTCTGTAACAAAGACAGGTTAAGAAGAGAAAGGCATAACAAGTTTACATGACCCAAGTCTTATGTGATTCAGGAACCTTCAGAAATGAAAACAAATACACTAGGGAAAACTGTATTTTTATGCTTAGGTTTGGGGAAGAATGACAATCCTGTGGAAGTAGGATTGAACAAAAGAAGGTATGATCTAGTGATAGTAAGTAGGAGTGAAGGGTTACTTAGCAAGGCCTGTTTGTCCAGATTCTTCCTGGCCTCCTGGAATAGGGCAGGACCCTTCTGAAAGTAGGTCCTAAGACCTACTTTCGGGTAAGCAGAAAATTTCAGGGGAGAAAGGCAGATGTCAGAATGACCTTCTGTACTTCTCATAGGTCAAGGGACCCTATTTTAAGGTACCATGTTACAAGTTCCAACAAGGGAAAAGACCAACCTCTAGGTTACTATAGCTGAGGTTAACTAATAGAAGAAAGTTTCCTACAATGTTCATCTAAAAGAAATTGTCACCCCATGAAAGCCAGTATCTTTAAGTCACCTAAATCCCTTTATTTTCTACTATCACTCAACATCTAAGTTTCCCAGATACTATAGGTTCTTCCTTCAAAAACCTCCAGAAGCTAAACAGACCACCAAAAGCTTACTTTCACTTCTGGTATTTCTCCTTTAGGACATCAAATTTTTTGAGACAGGCATAACATCTCTATGTCATGCGTTAGAATTCTACACAGCAACTTACACAAAAATCAATGCAGATAAAACAATGAGATGATTTCAGAACAAGACAAAATCTATCTCACTTTTCGATCACACTAGCAATATAACTTGTCTGAAATCAGAAAAAAAGCACTAGCATTAAAATATTGCTTTTCTGCAGTGCTTCATACTGCCTATCTACACAATTTCAAGGAGAAGGATAGAGCTGAGGGTAGGGACTGTGCTTAAAAGATACAAACAGAAGCCAGAACACAGGCTTTGCACCCACTCTGTTCTCAATATTTGTTGACGGATTTGATCAGGCTGTGATGAACACAGATGAGTGGTTTCCTCTCTGTATAGCAGTTTACAATGGACAGAGAACATTCCTATATATTCTCATCC